TTGGGCAGACGGAAGGGCAGAATTAAAGGCAAACTCAAAGGCGGATTCCAAGGCCGGCACATTCGTTGACACCCCACCTGCACATTCAGGAGGCTGGCATGCATTCACAGCCTCATATTTAATGGCTACGTAAACTTTTGCTATATGTACATGATGCAGCATGGCTTGACGAATATAAAACAAATGAAATCGCAGCCTCTTATCACACAGTCGTCATTTTCCCATGCATTTTACGATTCGCCCGTCAAAATGGTGCTGATAAGTTCATATCTTCAGGATTTATCACCATGGATAGAGCTGAAATAGAAATGGTTTCAAGCAACAGAAAGCTGCTCGGGCAAAGATCCATCTGTGCTGATTACTTCCAAGCCAGGACTCAAGATGATCACAGTGAATGTATTTTTCGCTGCATTCGACGGGGGGGAGAATTTTACGCCACTGATATACCTGTCGGTGAAAACGAAGCAGCGCTGGGGCTTGATGTCCTAGAAAAATCATCGCGGCCGTGGTGGAAGAAATTTTCGCTATATTCCGCTGTAACAGTTCAGCAAGTTCATGTATTAATGCTTCAGTAGATGCGTTTTATGAGTATCGAACTGGCTGGAATCAGCGTCTGTATTGTGCCCCTCGACTACACTGACGACATGCAAGACCTGAATCAGGCCATCAAGAGAGAACTACAGGATGTCGAACGGGGATGTTGCGGCATAGATATAGAGGGTAATGCTGAAGAGTGCCTTGGTTGTCCGAACGAGGCCTATGATGAGGATGCCCACCCTTATTGCAAGATTCAGCAATCTCGAAAACTTCGGCGAATGCATACCGAATACAAGTGGCTTCCATCCACTCTAAAATACTGGTGGCATAATGGCATTGATGCCAGGGGTTTGCGGTTTTTACGCACCGCGGGATTCGTATATTCTTACGAGTGAGTTCCAATTTCATGCCACAACAATTTTGGTCAGTTGATAATCTCGGCCTCAGAGAATTACAATACGACAAATTCAACGACGCTACCTCTCCATACGGGAGATCAATTTCCGCAGTTCTTTTGGTCGAGGGTTGGAATGTACGATATATTCTCGTACTCACCGGCCTAACGATTCTGGGCAGCGCGTGTGTTATTGCAATCATGGCTGCTCGGACTGGCAGTATTGAAAATGCGCTAACGGCTGGGAGCTATGCCTGTGGACTTGGTGGTACACTGATTGCGGTTCTCACTCTGCTAAGTGCTTTACTTCGATAGCGTCATACCTCAGCATATAGACGAAAATGGTAAGCGGCGTGGCTATTGATTAACTTGCTTCTGTGTCAAGGGCGGTGACGGGAGCCTTCAGGTTTGAGTTTTTCATTGAAAGCTTTCCCTTGCCGGCTCAAGTTCACGTGTGACTTTGTACGTTTTCTGTGCAGAAACACCCACCCCTTTTTTTCCTTGTCAACGTCGGCATAAGCGCCGGAGTCAACATATGATATAACATCACAATTTTTCAACTAGGCAGCATGGAGAACTTTGGCCCAGCGGTCAAGCTCTATCCTATGCATGATCCGTGGCATGCATGGAATCTACTGCATTGCTCCGAGTAGTCAGGAACCGGTCAAGACCCCGTTATTTGACTGGCAGCCCGAAAGCCAATTCGTCCATTTGACCGACGCGGTCGGTCAAATCACTACCAAGTAACGTGCCAACTGTTACCATGCTCAACTTGGATTTTCGACTCGGCGATTCATCACCAGACCAATTCAGCCCACCTTCGCGTTGATGGCATGCGGCAGTCAAGCTTTCCCCACTGAACACAAACGTCCCGTACACAAAAGAAACGCCAGCAGCTCAAAGTATACTTAGGTCTGCGAAAGTAGCAATATACCGCCAGCCGATTCTTTGTCAACCCTCTTCAACACTGAGCAGCTCCTAAGAATGCATTGAGGGATGTTTTAGCTGAACTAAGACGAGATTCTGCACCAGAAGCATGCATTGACTTAAACAAAGAACCCCAATTAAACGCATTGGTCTCCTACATCACGCCTCACGTTGTTTGGATCGTCCCAGTATCACCCCGCCATTTAAGGCAATAGCGGCCCCGGCTGCCTAGACAGCCGTGTTTACGGCCGCGATACCATAGCCCCCTGCCGCTGCGCTCTGTAGCGTTACGAAAACACTACCGCCAACTACATTGCCGATGCCACTTTGCACAGCCGCCGCTACAGATCCTAAGATCTCTATTATTTTCATCGACTTAAGCATATTCGTCTAAAATATTAACTCTTACCTATAGCGACCCCATTAGCCGTAAAACCAGCCACGCTAAGAATTAGAGCCGTAAAAAGGCTAGGTGCCTTCATACGACAGCGTATTTCCATACGCTGTCGTATGAAGGCACACCTCCTAGTTTCAAACGCCCTCTTATGAAGGTAAAACTCCTATTTTCATACGCTTACTGACTGGTGAAAGTTACCCCTGTACTCGACCGCACCTACTGACTGGTGAAAGTTACCCCCTGTACTCGACCGCACCTACTGACTGGTGAAAGTTACTTTTACGGGCACAAAGGCAGAAAGCCATGTGCAGGCGATACGGGGAATCCAGCACAACCGCTTTGTCAACGCTCACCTCTTTTTTGCCATAGATGATGGATACCTCGTTTCCTTCGAGTTCATGCCTATGGCATTGTGCGAAGTTGCAGGTAATCCTCTTCTGAATGACCTGCGACTGGCATCAATATTGGGACAGATGAGCTGTGTTCAAACGCGTATCAGTGTCGCCGTCTAAAGCGCCGCAGATTGTCGATGGACTATTATATCTCGAGCAGAAATCCCTAGAACATTCGCAACTCACTTGTTCTAATATCTTAATCGATACCCTCGGCAACGTCAAGCTATGTATATACGCCTATAGACTGCAACCCATTCCCCGCTGACTGTTGGCCACGGGGCCAAGAACACATTCGAAGCTCAACAGCAGCGTGCCCGCATGCGAAGGCTGTCGGGGAAATCATTATGTACCTTTCACATGGGCAGGCGAACGAATCTGGCAATGTCGGGCTGGACGATCCCGGACGGTTCCCGCTGGCCTTCGAGTTTCTTTCTGCGACGCAGAGAACTTCTAAGATAGTCTCAATCGCACAAGTAAGTCGCCCTGATGTCGTGCAATGGCTCATTACGGCGCTGACCATGACAGGAGCCTTTATTGAAAGAACTTCCCTGGCACAAGACAAGGCTCGCAGGACTAGTCACTTTGACAAGCACGAGGATTGGCAGCGGATATAGTTTCCCCACAAAAGAATAGAACGGTCACTGGCTCATGGCAGAACGCCTAGCATTGACAAACAGAAAACAAATACGCAAGACAATGTCCGCAAGAGGTATTTCACCGGAATAAGCTGTGGCTCTGTCGCCGAATTTTACTTCATTTATATTCTCTGATTTGATGTAGATTTATATGCGGAGATTCTACGTAGACAGGTAAGTATGGCAGTCACTGGCTGCATGGTCGACGTACATATTCTCCATCAAGCTTGTCTTCGTCGAGCGCCTCGTTCAACAATTTCTGAGCGGCGATTCCGACGTCTCGGAAAGGTCAGCACGCGCATATCACATCCATCTTACAATTTCTCACCTCTCCTCTCTATCTGCCATACTAGATGAATCCTGCGCGTTGAAGTCGCGCGACCGTTTTGATTGTGAATCAGCTTCCGCAGATACGGCAAGTGCGCGGCAATGCTAATTCCGGTGGCCAGCATAACGACATTTTCATATAAATAGACTGGTAGCTGCTTTCCATGCGGACCGCTGAACATTGCCCTGCGTGTGGTCGGGCCGTGGTCCTATAGAGCGAACAGATTTTTGGTGAAGCCGCCGCGAGGCTCGATAAACAGGTCGAGATGCTTCTGCGGCTTTTCGGACCAAGATATCACAGTAAAAGGATGTGTCTATGCGGCCGACCCCAGACTGGCCCACGGAACCCAAAGGCTTATGTACTGTCCAGCTCTGACCTTCAGCGGCCTAGACAACTGCAGGCTTACTTTGATTGCGTCATTGTCGTATGTTATTCGTGCCGTAGAGAGCCCTGACCTATTCCGATACGAGATGCTGGCGAGCCAGAAGATAGAGATTGTAGAGAATAGAGCTCCGCCAATGCACAGGTACAAGTGCGGAAACAGATCGGCGGATGAGGCATGCCGCCAAAGACCGTACACGAAGGCGAACGAAAGTATCTGGTGGATGCGCAGGGCGGCTTCGTACGAGACGCTTCGCAGTGCCAAAGTAGAAGGCTGAAAAGGGGTACCTTCCTTCAGGAAAAGCTCACTTGGTACTATAAATTGCGATATCGACCCACGACAAGAGATGTTGAGCAGCAATCAAATGGTCGCTCAAACGAGAAGTCAGACGGCAGGCAATCAGCAGACGAAAACCAAAGAACAGAAGACAAAGCAGCGAGAGAATTATAGTATTCCGAAAAAAGGAGATTCTGACAGAACATCGAAAACCTTAAGAGAAAACCTTGAATGCCGCAGCGGACGCGTACGAAAAGGCAGGTGATGGCAAGAAAGCGAAAATGCAGAATCAATTGAATGTTCGTCAACCCATGACCAAGCCGGAGGCCATGGACGAGGATGATGAGGAGCCGGCAGGAGAGCAAAACGTGAAGAAAGAGTCTGAAGAGGGCAGCATGTTCGTGTCACCAATCAATAACGACCAGGATAATTCGCCAGAGAAGGGCAAAGGCTCGCCGTCAGACCCAAAGCCGTCGTCCGACAAGGAGCAATACCCAAAGCCGTCATCCGACAAGGAGCAGGACCCAAAGCCATCGTCCGACAAGGAGCAGGACCCAACGCCGTCCAGTAATAACGACCACGACAAGCCTCCACCGCCGAGGGTCGGCTTCCAAAATGGCTTAGCAAAGCCCTCAACAGAGGCAGAAGACGAACTGGACTTGGTACGAGCGAATCCCGTGCGCTCGCTCTTCCACGGCGGCGCGTCTGAAAACGTAGGCTGGAGCAGGCTCGCGTTTGGCCGTGCTTTCAATATTGAAAGATAAGGGCCACCTAACGCCGCAAGGTTCAGATTGAAGCGACATAACGACGTGATCGAGACAGAAAGTCTCGAAGATCTTTCGTACGGGATCAAAAAGCAGCGCAACGGTGGAAAGCTTTACCAGTGCGGTGACATTGTGTCAGTCCGAGGTTTTGCCTGGCAGCCTCTCAAGAATATCGACCACTACTCGTCACTTGCGCCCCGCAACTGGAAACAGGGCAACAGGACGGTACGGCCTCCGATGCGCATCATGGTGAAATGGACAGGTAAGGCTGAGACAGAGGATGAGGGACGGGAAGTGACGAGATGGGAAAAGCGTGACGCTGTGTGGAGGTGTTGGGAAGATGAGCGAGGCCATGGAGGTGCCACAGTGCAGTGCGAGGAGGATTGAGACTAGGTGAAGCCGTTATTTTGAAAAGGGAGAGTTCTATTCGCTTTGCGATTTTGTGATCGTCACTGCCGCCTATCGATGCGAGAAACCATTTCAGGAATGGCAATCGAAGCAGCGGCCGGGAAGAGACCGGTCCCCTACTCCTGGGCTGCCTCTGCTGAAACGAGAATGAGAAGCAGCCGGGCAGTGGGGAAAGCTCCGATAAGCCGTGGTCATCTCAGCATACAGACAAGCCAGAGGGGGCTGAGGCTCAGGCAGACACTACCCACTAGTCGCTGTTCAAAACTGCCACGGCTGGTTCCAATGGCAGGCGCAATAATCTGGGTATAGGCGTAGGAATCTATTTTGGTACTTGTTTTACGGATTTCTCCTGTTTAGTAAAATGGATTTTACGCGTTTTCCGTTGCACTGATCAAACTACACGGTACGTTCACATAACTGTGACGGCGGCAGCGCCGGTGGCCATCTAGCCTAGAGAATATAGATAGTTGAAGCCCGGTTACGATGGCCGCCCCTGAGTACGTAGAATCGCCTTACATTGCAGGACAGGGTTCACCGTCTACGTTGACCAGCACGTTACACTTTCACTAAAGCTCTATGTCCACGCACTGTGTAGTACCGATACTTTATTCATTGCTCTAGAGAAGAGATTTGTTCGCTACGTAGCACAATTTCTTTACGAACAGCGCCGCTAGGTAGATAGGTAGGTGGCATATCAAACCGAACATGTCGGCACTGCCGTCTCTTCGACCGTTTCTCAGAACCGCTCTCCTTTGTCCGGTTCTCAGCTAGAAAACAGTCGATAAAGTCCTCCATAACGTGATAGAATTGATCGTCAAATATCCTGAGCTGTCTAGATTTAGTTTGACAGCACACGCTTTTCATTTTGGCTCGTGACTGACTTCTTGTGCTGGTTGCATTTCGTGAAGGTAGAAGCCTGGTGGAGCCTCTTTGAAGTTGTGTTGGGACGACCGCATGCCACGCTCAGGGGCATGGATCCTCGATCAAGCGGAGTATTAAATAATCAGACTGAGTATGCAGCCTACCGAGCAGGCGGCCTAGCCCTCACGACATCGCATAGACGCGTTCCATTTATTTAACCATATTGAATCTGCTGCCCTGCGGACTGCTTTGAGTACCACCAGCTACCGACAGAAGATGGGTTGGCTTCACTGGTGGCGGGACTGCTGGCCTCAATCCACCGCTCCGCATGAGCCGCCTACATCGAACGAGAAAAAACAGATATTTTCGAACAGTATCTTCACCGGTCTACCTGGCCTCCGTCACTCATTCCCAATTAACTGGGACGTGATACAGCGACACGATGGCACGGTTTTGAAGGGTATACATAAGAAAAGCTGCCTATCACAGGCACAACGGAGCAGTGAAAATACTGTAATGTAGGTAGTTGACCATCACCGTAAGAAGATACGCTGCAGGATAGCCTAACTCTGTAAGCGGCTACAAGTAAGCCGAAAGGCCCGTATGAGCTAGAAGGTAATATACTAGCTATTGTATTCTTATAATATTTTCTTAGAATTTCTATCTAGCTGTATGCTATAGGCACAACAAGGGGTGTTATCATATTCGAGCAGTCGTGTGCATGCGATGCACACAGAAAAAGCGGAGTTGCCATGCTTCGAGAGCTAATACCCAATATGAAAAACCTACGCTGGAGTAATGCAGCCTGAAAATTGCAGGTTTCGACAGTTTGAAAAAGAAAAAAAGAAAGAGAGAAGAAAGAAAAAAAAAAGATAAGAAAAAATTGGGTCGAGCAGGTAGTCGACAGCTTGCAGTTCGCAGAAGTGACGTTATTCCTGTTTGCGAATAGGTCCAAGTTATTTGTCACTAAAATAATAAACACAGCGGCTGCCGTCCCCTGCGTGGCAGCTACAGCGCTATAAGCGCTGTGGAGATATGGAGGATGCTGGGCTAACGAGTTCATTATGACGAGGTGATGCGCTAATTACCTTTGGCTCACTCCCCGCATCGAGATCGTCAAGGAACATTGTGTTGTCAGGTTAAGTGTCTCTTTACGCGTGTGATTTGTGTCTCTTCCCCCAACTTTTTCGTAAATCCAAGTGTCGATACAGCGGGAACAAACCGCCCTCATCAGTCACTAATCGCAGTACATGGTATGCCCGACTTGCTCGAACCGTATTTCTCAATACGAACTAATCAGTAAAGTACGAAAGCGAGCGTCATTCAGCGCCTTCAGTCCCAGCCTGTAACTCCCTACTCCGGACACAGGTGCAACGGGCCTCTGACGACGAAGTTGTTATTCTCTGAGCCAAGTGCTCTGCCGTCATCGGCGCACCTAAGGATTGGCGAAAAAACCTGCGTAACAGGTGTCGAATGCTCTATGACAACAACCTTGGCCTATCAAGGCCTGGCATATGCAGCCTTCCTCATGACAACATTTACGACACTGTTTAAACTACCTACTCGTACGATGGAAGGTGTGCAAGGCGCGGATATCACAATAGTATCAAACAAAAGCCAAAGCCAGAACCCTGACTCTACGACTCCCGCTTTCCCAGCCATTTTCTTTGGCGTCGTATTTGCCATTCCTTGGTAAGCTGCGCGAGTCCCCCACCTATACCTTCGGAAGCAAGGGGAGCGGGACTATATCTCGTCGCAAGAGTTCCTTAATAACGCGTTACAGTGTCATACTCAGTGCCCAGTATTGTTTCCGCTATGCTCATAACAGAACTAGAGCAACCGTCGTAAACGGCCGACCAACACCTCTCGTGACTATGCCCAATGCTCGTCGAGAGCGCCGACAAAAGAGTCTTATGACTGTGAATGAGATCAACGGCAGATTCCCGAAGAGGAAGTATGGACATTGGGTGTCAGAGCGCGCTGGGGAGTGTCTGCCAACCGCTGATAGCTTTACCGTAACCACCGTCGTGGCGACCATTGAACAAGAAGGTCAAGTGGATGCGCATCACAAGCTCGAATCAGAGCCGCTGGAAGCTGAGCGTCAGGCCGAAGCACCTAGGGCATCCTCAAGTCCGCTGCGCGGGTCTTCAGGCTATGGTTTTAGTAACGGTGGGCACCCAGGTGCCGTCGGCCTACCCGAACGAACCAGTGAACCTGGTGATATCTGCGCGATTTGCATTGATCTGTTTCAGAACGAGAACTATATCAGAGGATTGGTGTGCGGCCATGTATTTCATGTTGTGTGCATTGACACCTGGCTGACCAGCCGCCGCGCTTGTTGCCCACTCTGCAAGGTAGCGCAGAATATGCCAATACCTCGCGATGCTGGAAGGCGCAGTTCTGCCGCAGCGAATAGCTCCAACCTCAGTGAGCACAGCAACAACAGAATTAGCCATCATATCCGCCCCCAGCCAGCATGCTTACGAGACAACAACTTAGGCTCATTCTGCCGAGCATCGTTGAGGCAAATTGGCGCAACTGGTCATGATCAATGAGCTTGGGGAGGCGGGAACAACGGAGAATATGGAGGCTTCAGGCAGCATAATGGAAGCCATTGCAGGGGTGGTGTGGAAGCATGCGAGGATATGAATGTCATGTCAGGATGCTCTGCGAAAGCAAGCGTCGCGAGCCACAATCTGTCAGCTGTTGGAGGCATCCAACGGCTTCGATATCGGCGTATGGCAACTTTAGCAGGTAATGAAACTGCGGAAGTTCGACCTGGCGAGACGCAATATTAGCATAAGCCAATCAATGGACCAATGCCGCCTTGAACTGCCCCGATGGAAGCTGGATACACGCTGGTTTGATAAGCGCTTGCTCGATTGCTGCATTGGTTGGTGTCGCGCCTAGAAATTTAAGCCTGCGCTACTTCTGGATAGAGCCACTTCGGTCCAAATTATGCCTGTCTATCAAGTGGCGGATTTCGGAGTCAGATCCACCGATGATTGCGTACAATGCGGCATGGTAGACCTTTTTGGAGATGCACAGCTTATACAGCCAATAAACCGTCCCAGATGAGTTGTGCTTGGATTCTAGAGCCGTAGTTCCACGTCCGTGACAGGATATCAAGGCCATCATAGTCGACGTCTTCACCCACGGAGGCCTCACCGTGGAGGTGGTAGCTTGTGGAATTATCTGCAGGGACATGAAAGCAATGAAGAGCCTGAACCAGAAAAGGTGCATGTAGATACAATTGACGAGTCCTGGTCGGAATTCATTATCGTGCAGGGAGTTTATTTAGGAGACGATAGTTTGCTAGTTTACAGGTATGTATTACGCGTCGAAGTGTCGCGAAATAGGGTGTGCCATAACTCCGTTTTGTGCGCACTGTCCCATGACGCAGGCGGTTCAGGCGGTCCATTACCCACGAACTGGACCGCCCGGTCCACCGAAAATACTGGACTGGACTGACTAGTAGGCGGGTGGTCCATTCGGTCTACCCATTTGGACCGCATTTCTGGAACACTGATGCTAGGCTCGTTCGGCTAATTCGGCCGCAGCAAGCAGAAATCTAAGGAAATTTGTCCAACAGCAACGAGCACAGGTCAGGCCAATTGGGGAGAGGGGGAAGCTCGTCGTTGCAACAATGGCACAACAGGCGGAGCTATGAGAAGTCAGCACTCTTATGGTTGGAGAATGTAGGTGGCCTTACTAGGATGCCTAAGTTTTGTCCATAAAATTTCTTTTCCATCTAATTCGTAGGAGCAGTGAAATTTGAATTAGACAGGTTGATCTCCAGCATGTCTTGCTCCAATCGGCAGAAGTAGTCCTTCTATCAGAGGCTGGATGTGCCAGCATTTAGGCTGCGGGGTAGCCTGCCAGACGTGAACAGGTAACAGCGACCCTGCACCCCTATAGTCATAGCAAGGCGTCGGTCCTCTTGGCGTTGCCAGCAGCTGCACCGCTGCTGCACCGCTGCTGCCGCGCCGTTACTGTGAGAATTTCTCTATACAGAAATCTCATCGCTGCGGGCAGAGCGATTCTGAACGCCGCTGTTGCGATCAGAGCCACCAGGAGACGACTTAATAAAGTAGTCGCCAAACACGCGCTGCTCGAGGTTCTGGTCCTGAACTCCGAGGCCTTGCTTCGCCGCAAGACGGCGGAAATAGATGCGCTTGGCCCACTTCCAAGCTTCGATACCAAGGAAGAAGAGCAAGGCCTCGACAAAAACGATGCCCCACTCCCAGGTGATAGGAGCGTGCTTCAACACGACGTCGTTGATGACGGGGATGTAGATGAGCGGGAACATGGTGACGAATCCAGCAATGATGGCCCAGAACAGGAACTGATTACGCCAGGCATCAATGATCCATTGGCTGAAGTATCGTTTACTGCCGGGCTGCATGCGGAAGAAGGAACGACGCATGTTGACCATTTCCCAGGCGAGGAAGAGAGCAAACCAGGTCAAGCAGGCGAATGTAGTGGCACGAGCACGGAAGACCACCTCGCAGCCTTCACGCTTCTCATTGCAGTTGGGACCGATATCGGCGGCACCATTGCCAAAGCCGTAGAGCACGAGGACGAAAGAAGACAGGCAAAGTGCAGACATCCAGAGGCCGTAAACCACCATATCAACCAGAAGTTCCGGTGTGAACACGCCTTGTTTGAGCTTAGAACACTATAAGCAGCTGTTCACGTCATTGTTGTGAAATATGACCCACTTACGTTTTGGGGAGGTCGTTGCATGATATCAGGGGCAGCAATCTCAAAACCAAGGCCCATATCAGGCATACCAGAAGTAATCATGATGATCCATAGAATCTGAACAGGAGCAAGAGGGAAGATGGAAACGCCGCGGGCATCCTTGAAGGCGAGACCAATGAGAAGCGTGCAGGCCTGGGCAATGTTCTCGGCCAAGACGTGGAGGATGAACTTTTGGATGTTGTCAAACATGCGGCGTCCTTCCTCAACAGCGTTGAGGATAGAGGCAAAGTTGTCATCGGTCAGAACAATGTCGGAGGCTTCCTTGGCGACGTCAGAGCCGGCTTGGCCCATGGCAATACCGACGTCGGCACGCTTCAAACTGGGCGAGTCGTTGACGCCATCACCAGTCATGGCAACAAAGGCCTTGCGGCGATGGAGTGCTTCAATCATGCGGACCTTTGTCTGAGGAGCGCATCGGGCAACAACCAGCGGGAGCATGGGGAGATTGTCGATTTCATGGTCGGTTAGTTTGTCAAAGTCGTGCGCAGCCATGACCATGGTGCGGGCAACATCGCTGGAAACATTAGATATGCGAGTGGGCAGAATACCGACTTCGAGGGCAATTGCGCGGGCCGTCTCGGGGTGGTCACCAGTCAACATGTGGACGCTAATACCGGCCTCGTGGCACATGCGGACAGAGGAGGCGGACTCAGGCCGTGGCGGATCGTAGAGACCAATCAAGCCACGGAAGACAAGATCCTGCTCAAACAGACCACGGTCCAGCTCGGCCTCATTGTGCTCAACAATGGGGAGATCGGTTCGGCTGGCAAGGGCGAGTACACGGAGACCAAGACGGGCGAGGGACTCCATGTTCCTGAGAACGTCCTCCTTAACATCATCGGTGAATATCTTGATCTCGTCATCGACGGCATACCGGGGGCAGGTTGTGAGGACACGTTCGACGGCACCCTTAGTGAACAAATGCTGCATCTGGGATTCCTTGTGCTCAAAGATGACGGACATCTTCTTGACATCAGAGTCGAACGGAAACTCGGCGATCTCGGACCACTGGGCGTCCTTGCCCTGGGAAAGTCGGAGGCGGTTCCAGTTGAAGCGGGTGGCAAACACCTGAATGGCGATTTCGGTAGGATCTCCGCGGCCGTGCCACTCATCTTCGACCTTAGTCACGGAAGCCAAGTTGGCAAGAGAAGCGACGTTGAGGTACTCACGCAGGGTGCTGTCGTTGCCGGCCATTTCCCCGGCATTGATGGGGGTGCCTTCAGAGTCCTTGTGCTGGAAGTTAATATCCTTAGGCTGGTCCTTTCTAAAGCCAAGATCGCCGACCGTCGGGTTAAAGGGTTCGTTGGTTGCACCGACAGAGTAGGTACCACGGCCTGGGATCCAGGCCTTTTTGACAAGCATGTTACCCTGGGTGAGAGTACCAGTCTTGTCCGAGCAAATATCTATTGACAAGTTAAAACGACTGACGAGATGCTGTGGTTTGGCACGCCTACTAGAAACCGCACCGAGAGCCTCGAGGGACTTAAGGTTGCGAACAATGACGTGGCGCTGGACCATGCGCTTGGTGCCAGCGGCCATCGTGATGGTTAGGACGACAATGAGAGAGGCGGGAATCATGGACAGACCAGTGGCGACGGCATAGATGATGACTTCTTGCCTGGTATTAAACTCGTTGGCACCCAAGACGATGATAGCGCAAATTATGGCAGCTCCGAGCAAGAGCAGAGCCAGTTTTGACAGCTTCTTCTGGAGGGGAGTACCGACTTTAACACCAAGGAAGCGACCGACGGCATCACTGAACGTGAGACCCCAAGCCTGAAGCCAGCGATGGAAGCTGGTGGTGCCGTCCTCCTTGCGCTTAGGCTCGCGGCGGCGAGAAGCCTTGCCACGGAGAGCGACTGCAATCTGACCAATCTCGGTGTACATGCCAGTGGCGAAGACAACACCGCGCGCGCGGCCCTTCGTGACGGTAGAGGAGCTGTATGCAACGTTGAGACGGTCGCCGGGGCCAGTCTCCTGAGGGTACGTGGCAGTAGCCTCCTTGCGGACGGGCAAAGACTCTCCAGTAAGCAGAGCCTCGTTGGTCTCAAAATTGACGGTCTCGACCAGACGGATATCAGCGGGGATGGTGTCACCAGTCTTGAGCTCAACCATATCACCGGGAACAATATCGGCAGTGACGATGGTCTGGTTGCTCCCGTTGCGAATAGCTTGGGCGGTGGGAGAGCTGAGAGAGCGAAGGGAGTCCATGGTCTTTGCAGCTTGAAGCTCTTGAAAGAAGCCGACGACGATATTGAGGAGAATGACGGCGGTGATGACACCGCCTTCGATCCAGGACTTGATACCGAAAGAAGCGGCCATCGCGAGGATAAGGACCTGCCACGCGAGTTAGCATGATGTACATCATTGCGATGAAATTTTGAAGGCCGTTTCTGCCACTGTGTTAAGAAGCGTAGGGCAGCTCTTGTCCGTTTTCAGGGTCATTGCTCTCGCGTTGGCATGGCATGGCGCCGCTGCCGAATGCCACCTGTCACGGTTCCCAACAGCCGGAGCTTGCTTACGAACACGCACAACAAGCGGCTACCTCCCAGCGTGTCGCCAAAGCCACATTTCCGCCCTCTGCAGGAGAGTAACTGAGCGCATGGGCGGAGTGGTAGGTCGGCGTTGGGCGGCGCAGGCCAGACTGGCAGCCGAAAGTGAGAGGATTGACACCACCTGTGTTCGAAAGAAACAGAGGGATTTAAAAAAAAAAGGCAATGGGATGAGAAGTAGCTTACCAGAGTGAGGGCGTTGGCAATCTGGCCGATTAGGATCCGGAGGGTTTGCACGCCTTCCTGCTCACTAAACTCATTGCGACCGTGTTCCTCGAGCCGTCTCTTCGCCTGGTCGGGCGAGAGGCCGACTTCGATGTCGGCCTTAAGCTCGCTGACAACGTCATCGATGGAGAGAGCGTGGGCGGGCGCCGAAATGGGCTCGTTGGACTGCCCTGAGACATGGTTCTGCAACTGCAGCTGCAGAGCCTCCTTTTCCTGGCCCATTGAGAGGGATCAGTTAGGCCAAGGGACGTTGCGAAGATTTTCCTGTAGTGTTATATTGTATGTGTAAGATGCGCTATTTTTGTCGTGGTGTTGCTCGGTTCACTCTTGCCATCTGACAAGTAGAGGGAAGGTGAAGCTTCTTTCCTTTCACGCGGACGAAAGAAAGAGCAGCGCCTGGAAAGGATGTGTTAAGGATGTAAAGAGGAGGAATAAGAGGAGGGGGCGGCGCAGGGGGGCTGCGATAAAGTTTCAGGCAAGATCGTCAAAATTTTGGACATATCGAATGCTAAAGAACCTGGCAACCATACGCTGACAGTTGGCGTAGCGACTGCGACCGAGCCATAGATCCAAGAGTGTATAAGTGGGCCATGCCGTGCCACCACACGCTCGATAGCCCACGGAGGTTAGTTGAGAAGTTGCATTTGAAATGCATCCCACTCCATCCGTACTGCGCAAGCAGGAACAGGCAGTATATTTGGGCATAGCACCGAGTCAAGAAATGCGCTTCACATTGTGGTAACACGGTGGTCAATTTCGTACAGCAAGGTCTTGACCTAAAATCCTTCACATCCCCGCAGCTGAATGCGGCATGGTGCTTGGCGCCAATGCTGCTAGACCGCGAAACAAAACACTGGGTACGTAGTAACCACCACCGCTTTTCACACAAACTGAACTTTCGGTGCGCTTCGCGCAGCTTCCTCTCTCATTACAAAGTTGCAAGCCAACGATTCTCTAATTTTTTACATTCGCGACAGACTATATGGTAATTAATATACCTGATAAAACCTGTGCAAATACACCACAGCAATTCAGCGCTACGGCACCGCACAGGTCTACCAACACGCTAGCCATACCACGGTAGTACAGCGACGCTTTGCCAAACTTCCAGCGCTATGTCGGTTCACATCACAAGTACTGGTAACTCGACTCGAATTTGTGGCAGGCAACTCCGTTCCAAATTCTAGAAGCGTGTATTCGTTCATTGTTTTATCACGCCCGGTGGCTTCCAGCCAATAGGGCTCACTAGCTATGCTTAGGTACATATTGACTGTTCGCATCATCCCGTCCACTTTATGGCGATGCCGGCGTCATGCCGCTGGGAGAAGAAGAGCTGTTGCCCTCTACCTTTGCCTTGGATACTTAGCTAACCAATACAAGATACCCCTAAAACCAAAAACGAAGTCGCTGGCGCACAAAATGCCGTCGCCGAACATGCTACCCCGTCAGGTGTGACACCGTCCGGGTTGCCCAAATTAGCTATCGTGGACAGAAACGGCAAAATTGGGGGTGAACCGTCGGATGCTTCGCTCTCCCCTCCACCCACGGACAAAGATGGTGAGAGAGGCGCGCTTCATCGCGAGAAAGAGCATGGCGATGCCAATGTTGCTGCTACTCCGGAGGGCAGCATCTCTCCAAAAACAACACTAGGTATGATGCCCTTCCTGTTTATCAAAGCTATCTGGTTACACGTTGCAAGGTACTCCGGAGAATGAAACTGAAGAGGCAACCTCACGACACAATGGCGACGGACCAAGTGCTTCCCGACTGACAACCTTGTTGTCGGAGCTACAGCCCCTGCGTTGCTCGCCATCGGCGGATCAAGACAGTGAGGACAGTGACGGACCACCCCGCACGCGCGAATCTACAATCTCAATGCCTTCTTCGTCCACATCACCACCGTCAGACCGTGACGTAGTATATGTTGGGTTTCAGCCTCTGTTCAAGACTTCGCAGATTCGATTGCAGCTACTGCGGGTATGAGCCTCATTGACGAAGTTTTTTCTCGGCTTCTGAGGTCAAAATCCACGTCACGCAGCCAATGATGTGCAAGTGGTTAGTGGGGCCAAACATGAGGCCACCAAGGTCTAAAAGGCCATGGACCCCCATCTTTCTAGATACAGTTCTTTGATAGCAATAAAACCATGCAGACGCGAACAACTTGAAAATGAACCACTCAAACGAATTATATCGAGCAAGATATATTGTTCAGATGGGAGCCTTAAGTTTGCACAACGCTTGATACGCGTTTTCTTTATCAGTAAAGGCTGCGCATGCCACGAGGCTTGTTGTTTTCCTCTGAGAGTTGGTTATTTCTTTCGGTCACGTGGGAAGGGATTCGTGACCAC